TCAGTCCTAAGACTGGTTGGACACGTACCTCCACTCTTTCCTATCCTGAGCTAAACTTCGCATTTCCCTAAAACTAGAACAGCCCACATCCTTAACTATTTGCGAACAGTAATCTAATCTAGGTCTACCTCTACCCCTCCTAACTCCTGTTTCTGTCTCTAATATGTCTCTGACTAGACCTAGATAATTAAACATAATATGTACCCCGTAGAGCATTTCCAATGGCAGAGAACACACCATACCGGCACCACAAATTAATATTTCAGATATAGATATGTATAAACTATACACAGTATAATCTCTGCTAGTTGAAATACTCTTTGATGGGAAGAGGGGATACCTGCTTGCAGCAGTTATGTCCAGTAAGTAAGACTGGTTTAGTTTAATATTTAATGTTAAATAGTATGTACATTTAGGTACTGAATAAATTTACATTTTTGGTGCAATGCTGTTACTAAAACAGTAGTAGGCAAATAAAGGGGCAGCTAACAAAATAAAAAAAGATTTGCTTTTTTTTACGTAAAAAACAATTTTTATTTTTGATTACTGAAGTGTTGTATTAAATTTTTGGGATAAATTGATTTTTCTTGTTTTTTGTTGTTGTTTATTATTCACTAATATTAGTCCAAATTCATGTCAACAGCTGCAAGAAAAATGTTATATTTTTGCAATCTTCCTTCAATACTGGTGCTGATATTTGTTAAATATTTTTTACTTTTAGAATATAGGCAATTTAAGATTATTCGGTTTATTCATTATCAATTTTTTCTGTTTTTTATTTCTACTATTATCATTTTGTCACTAATGTTAAAACATAGCATTTAAATCACTTGGCATTTATATTTACCCTTTCTTTTCTCTATGCAATTAGTTTTGTCAAGTTTCCCAGAAACAGATATAACAAAAATAATAATGCATGTAATAACAAACTGAATAACAGTTGAATTTATATAGTTTTTAGTATTTCAATAAATAAGTGAAACTTTGTGAAAACTGCATTTTAAAAGATTAAAGAAAAAATCTCAAATACAGTCGTGTGAGATATCATCAGCTAACATGTGGTTATTAACTGATAAAATGTGGTACTTGACTGTGATATTTATTTTATAAGTAATTGGTTTTCATCATTCTCGCAAATTCGTTAATTAGATGATGGAAATGTGGAATGTTTTATTTCTTCACTATATTTTATCATATCGAAATATTAGCCTGAAGATGACCAGATGGTATTTTTGTGACAACTAATTGTTCAGACAGAGCATACACATTGAATTACTACGATGAAACGTATCACCTTTTGACTTAATCACTGCATTAATCCTTTTAGGCATACTATCTGCGAGCTTTTGGCAATCTCTAGTTGAAAAATTATCCCAGATATCTTAAAGTTTAACGCTCAAATATGTAACTGTTCTTTGTAGGTTTCCTCTTAAATGTCTCTTCATCTACGAATTTATTTTTGACGTGACAACGTTTTATAATTCGAAAAAAACATAACTCAGGCGGCGTTACCTCGCTCTGAGGCGTTCCATTTAAGGCTTGAAGTGCAAGCGAGAGCGCGGAACGAGCGACAAAGAGGCACAATCGGCCTCCGCGTTCGGCAGCGTTCGACATCTGTCTCTCTCCTACTTGAGTGAGCGATGCG